CCCCCCCCCCCCCCGATGCCTGCCCTCGGCGCGGGGGGCTCGGTTTGCTTTTTGTCTGTTCCATAGTGCCGCGTCCGCAGCCTTCCAGGTGACCCCGGATTCACACACTGTATTTATGTTTCGAGAGATTTTGCGTCTTTTTACGCCCATCGTCTCGGGGGGGGTGTGTTGCTTAGTTTGGACTTCACCTTTTAACGTCGTTCAAGAATGGTACAGAGTACGTATCTTCTTTTTTTTTTTTTTCTTGTGCTGTTTTTTTTAATTTAAAATTTTCTTGGGGTAGACTGGAGAGAGAGAGAGAGACCCAAATTCCTGAGGACATTTGGGCATTCTGAATTTCTCACCCGAACAAAAGGGAAACCAGAAAGCCAGGGACGCGATGCGCGGGGAGCGGCGGGGCCCTGCAGCGAAGCTTTTTGGGATTAGGCTGGTTTTAACCTAAGGAGAGGTTTTATTTTGGCCCCCACCCTCCTCAGCCGGCTTCGCTCCGGAAGGTCACACCGTTTCCGTCGCGGGGTGTGGGGGGATAAGCCGCGGTGACCAGCGGGGATTAATTTTTGCCTGTGGATGAACTAAACGCTGCAGTTCTCTGCCTGATGGAGCAGAGGCATACAGGTGGGGGTGGGTATGTTTCTGTAAATATTTAGCAGAGGATGCTGAAATTCCAGTGATGTACAAAAAAAAAAAACCCATAATTAATAATTCCCACGAACAGACCTTCAGATTGGAGGATAGAGTTTTTGTCTATTTTTATGTATATTTTTATACTGCTTGGGGTGACCTCGTTACCAAACGTGTCTCTTCTATGTTGGGGGTCAAGTTCAGGAGCACAATTTTAAAGCAAAATTACTCTGTGGGCATTTTAAATGCTTATTTTTTTATAAGCCTCAAGACAATTAAATGAAATCTGACTGTGTATAGAAATGATGTAAGAAACCAAGTTTAGTGGAAGTTTTAGAAGATGTTAAATAAATTTTTGAAAAGACAATACAGAAACCCTCTAACATGGTACCAAGCAGTTGTGTGTGATTTTTTTTCCTCAGCAAACCAGCATTTTGCCTACTGAAAAATGGAACCAGAAATGTTTTTGCCTGCTGCACCCTGCAGAAGGTTGCATTAGTGGCTGTATTTTTTAACTCTTACCCAGCTGTACCCCTTTTGAAACACGTAGCATTTTCGCCAGTTAGTGTGCTAAATTTTAAACGACTGTAGTTTTGGGGGGAGAGTGGGAGAGACTGGGACTATCGGGCTGCCCTGTTTTTGTAGCTGATTGAGGCTCCAGTTCAGCAAATTGTTGGAGCAGGTGACTAAAAGGGGGAGAAGAAAACGTGGGTAGTGAAGTACCTGGTTAGGAAGGACGGGTGGAGCAGGGCGGCCCTGCTCCCCGTGCCTTTCTTCGCAGCGGCAGGAAGGATCAGCCCTGAGCTCGCAGGGTGGTGGGGAATTGCTGAGCACTTTCTCTTCTCCTGGAACAGAGGAAGTAAAACCAGTACAAATTATCTGGAGCTACAACTGCTTTTGGTCTGTCCCATGGTATCTGGTCTGGGGGTAGCGGTAGCAGCAGCTCTGTGGGGCTGACGATGCGCAGGAGCCACGTGCCGAAGCTCGAGGCTGCGGATCTAAACTTTCTGTGAGGTCAGGGAGGATTTTTGGCTGGGCTTGGTCTGGTGGATACCCACCTGGATATCCACGAGGCTCCCGTAAAGCTGGAAAGCTTTTGCTTCCCCTTTGCTTTGACTGGCTCTGGAACATTCCCAGTTAAAAAGCAATACGTGAAGCGTTCCGAGACACCCGTGTTAACCTGTGACGGCGGATGTGCCCTGGGCAGCGGCTGTAAGAAAGGTTTTTATTAAAACTTTGAGAAGTTTGTGCTCCTTTTTGTCTCAAAGGGGACGAGCAGCAGAGATGTTTGCTGTACAGTCTGACTGCAGCCTCAGCGGGACTGTAACCTCACACCAAAATGTTGCAATGGGATGTTACGTGAATGTGTTTAAAATGAAGAAGGGAAGATTAAATTGTAACTATTTATATGAAGGGAAGATCAACTCTATTCTATGTAGGAAGAGATGGACAGACTGAGCAACTTGACTTGCCTGGTCTGTCTCTTTCCTCCAGTAAGAAGTGCTGCTTTGTGGATTTAGGATGGCTTTTGTTTTGCTTGGTTGCTCCCGTTAGGATGCATTTTCTTTGCGCTCCTGGTGTTGTGCCGGCACGTTCTCTGGCCACGCAGGCAGCAGAACGGGGCCCCGCTGTGTCAGCTGCTACACTGGAGCCACTGACCTGTCCTCCCTGGCAATTCGCTCCTTGTTGGTACTTTGGACAGGATTTTAGTGTTACTGCTTTTTAAAAATAATAATTTTATGTATATATATATAAAAGCAGCAAATTATTGAGCCTTGCAAGAGGAATTTGCCTCTTTCCTTCTCGGAGTCAGAAGCATCGTCTGCTTTCACCCAAGATGTACAAGGAGTATCTGAGCCCCCGAGCAATGTCTGGCCTGGGAGCAGCTCAGGGGTAGTTTGACCCCAGGCTGGTGCCTCTGTGCTGCCCTGTCTCTTATCAGGCGATCCGGAGCGTGCCAGGGCTATCTGGCAGAGATAAGAGGGTGAAAAGGTCCGGTGCGCGGGAGGGGAGCGGGGAGAGGTGTAAAACAGTGACAAAACCCACAAGTCCCCGTGCAACGGGTGACGAGGTGCAAGAGAGCACCAAAATACACTGGAGTGGGGGAGCCTTGGTCCCCAA